GTTGTAGTTGTCATTGTTGTTTGGCAGGCCTGGGCTGGGTTCAAACCCACCAGCCCAGGTGTATTTGGCTGGTGCCCTAGCTGCTGAACTACAGGCATTGAGACCAGGTTCTCTTTTTTGTTTATTGTTTAATGCTGAAGAAAACACATTGTGTCCAGAAAACAAATAGAAAACCAGTTGTTTTCTTATTACAAAATGAATGCATGCTCATTCGTATAAATTAAAATTTTAAAATCACATATCCTGTAGTCCCAGCTACTTGGGAGGCTGAGACAGGAAGAACATTTGAGCCCAGCAGTTTGCTGCTATGTACGCTACGATTGTACCTTTGAATAGCCACTGTACTGCAGCCTGGACAACATAGTGAGACCCCATCTCCCCCCCTCCAAAAAACACATATAAACAAAAAATAAGAAAATAATTAAGTAGCTAATGTAATATAGAACACTTACTGTGTGCGAGGAACTTTCCTAAATAGCTTATGTGTGTTAATATATTTACTTATTTAATAAATTAAACAATTATTCATAGTCCCAGCATAGCTAGCTACTGCTAACATCCTTTGTAGTCTATTTTATACATATATATACACATAACTAAAAAAAATCAATATATCTGATTAGTACCTATGACCAGTAAACCACCTTCAGCTTTTTAAAAGGTAAACCAAGTGTTCAGAGCTGAATATCTAAAATCCTAACACTGATTGAAAGGAAAATGCCTTAAGCAGTTCTCTGCATTTCTGATAGGTGCTGCTCAAAGCAAAGAGATCATCTTCCTGCCGAGTAGGGAGCCAGCTTTTGTTACCGTCCCAGGAAATGGTTTTGCAGACCCGTTTTCCATCACACCGGGGACATGGATCGCTTGTATTCAGGCAGAAGGCGTCCTCCTGGTAAGACGTAGCTCTGAATGGAGAGCTCTGTGGGCTTTTCCACCTTGTAGATGGTCCCGTCTAAGACTGGGACCCACAGTGCCCATCCGATATCAAATCGTGGTTGTAGGCACAGCAACCACCCAAGGAACCTGTGGTGACATTCTCCCTCAGATGACAGTCGGAACCAACTTGAAGTATCTTTTCTATCCTTCCAACTAGCTTCTCGTGGACAGAAATAAACAAACAAAAAAATCTCAGAAAGACAAATGCAAAACCTCCATGACCACACACCCTGCCCTTCAAAAGCACATGTGGGATTTTCGAGCATGAATCAGAAGCGCACCTAAAACATAAGCCTGTCTGAGGATTGTCCAGAAGAACGTCAGAAGAATCTAGAGCAGCGGTTCTCAACCTTCCTAATGCCGTGACTCTTTAATACAGTTCCTGTGGGTCGCGACCCACAGTTTAAGAACCACTGATCTGGAGGATGAGAAGCCCCTAATTTCAGTGCAGTTCTCAATGATGGGAAGAGAGGAAGAGGCCGCAGGAGCCAGCGCTTCTCTGTGGCACCCTTCCTGCTCTCTTCTACCTTGGCCCGGGCAGCAGGGTCCCCACAGACTGTCTTCCACAAACCCCTCTTCATCAAGAACAGGCTGTGTCTGTGAACATGAAAGGAATAATAGCCAGAGAAGCTGCCGAGTCAGAAAGATGAAAATGTTCCCTGAGACAGCCCTCTTGGATGTGTGCTGTAAGGCTTGCTTTCGTTTATAGCAAGGTCTTTTCCAAATAAAATCTTTGGGGAAAGCTTGGTTTCATGCACTTGGAGTCGAAAAAATAAAGTTTTCTTTCTGGCACAACTTCATTGATCGGTCATGTTAGCGAATCTTAGGCGAGTCCTTTAATTCCAATCCTGCCTCAGTCTCTTCTTCCATACGGCAGGGACAATACTCACCCTGCTATGTCCTCTCCAAATCTGGGATCTTACGAAGATAACGTGGAGGTTTATGCGGCCCGTTCAAGACTGTGCAAGAAGAACAAGAAGTCCCCGTTCCTCTTGCATCTTCTTAGTAGAAAGCTTTACTGTGCTAAAAAGTTTAAGGATGTTTTACGACATTAGAGGAAGAGAGAAATTCCATTCGTGCTAACACTGGGCACAAAGCTGGGCTAAGGGAAAGACGTATGTTGTAGAAGTTCCTCTTCAGGCCTGGAAGTTACTTAGTGACATTGAGTCTGTGCGGTTGTGTAGTAATACACACGCATGCGTCCGTAGGGTGATCTCATTTTCTCTTACATATTTTATTGAACACTTACTATTAACCTTTACTTTGTAAGATCTGTGGGGCCACAAAGTAATGAGGACCTGTAGTTCCAACCTGGGAAAACTTAACAGTAACCACTTTAAAATGAAAACTCACTCTGAGTCCCCTGAGCCACGATCTCCTACTTTCCCCCTCCCGTACATTTCTCCCTGAGGTCCAGGTATGAACCTCTTCTCAGTCAAGGCAGACAACCCCTCCCCTCCTCCTCCTGCAGCTATATGGGGCTGCCAGGACGCCTGGGAGCGCTCAGTCACCCACATCTCAGAAGCCTGGAGCTCTGCTCTTTCCTGAAGAGCTGCTTAGCTGAGTTTCCATTGTGGGCTTCGTTTGGCACGCTCAGGGGAACATGTTCTTCCTCTGATGTCGGGGACAGGCAGCAGGCCAGTTCCAGTCCATGAATCACCAGGATCACAAAGCATCACTTTTTGATACCGTGCCAGCTGAGTGTTGCTCGAGTGTGGGGGTAGCAAACTATGAGACGTGATCCACGTGCAAACTTCCCTACCGATGAAGACAATAGCCGTGTCCAAAGAACGTTGGACCAGCTAACGATTTGTTATCTTCGTCAATATCTGAATTAATAAACAACCTGGAAGAGACAGTACAATTCCTCCTGAGAGTTGAAAAACACAACCGCTTACACCAAGGAGCTTCTCCCCAGTGTGTACAGAACCTCTGATGATGAGCTCTGGGTGTTCGGTGAGTCAGGATGAAGAACAAGGCAGTGGAGATGGAGACTTTAACAAGTGACTTCCCCTGGGCATTCATTTATTAACTAGGATGTTTGAATATTATTTCACCAAAGCAGAGGGTTACCATCGAAATGAATAATTGTCTTTTTGGTCTTTGTTTCCTAGGATTACCTGGTGCTACTCCCCAGGGACTACTATGAAGCATCCGCCCTCCAGCTGCCGGTCACAGAGCCATGTGCCTCTGCAGGGTCTCCCCAGGAAAAGTTAGTATGGGACAGCAGGTGCAGCGCCATGTCACTGGGGACCTCTAAACTAGGAGCCTTTAATGCAGGGGCTCATGAGAGGCCTCAGGAGCCCCGCCATCTGGATAATTACTTCTGATTTCTCTCTGTACCTTACCTGTGTCCTTAAAGTAAGAATCACAAAGCACTTGGCACACCAGTGCTGGTTTAGGAATGGCCACCACCCTGGGGTGTGGGAATGCTGACGCATGCCCAAGTAACGCCCTCAGGGTCATGCATGGGTAAGGGGAAGAGCTTAAACTAGAATCTGGGGTTTGTACCCTTGTTTCTTCCCATCTTCATGTTGATGAAAGTTTCTGTAGTTGACTGTGAAGAAGAGTATGGGGAAGGAATGCTGAATGAGTGAGCTGAATGACTGACGGGCTGGGACGCACCTTGATGCTCTGGTCCGTGTTCTCAGTTGTGACTGTTGTTGTTGTTGTTGCAGCTGCTTGCTTTACCAGCATGTGCCAGTGACCAGGTTCCCCTGTACTCTGGCTTGTGAGGCCAGACACTTTCTGCTGGATGGAAAACCAAGACCCTTGGCATTGAGACAGCCCACACCTGTACACCCGGTCATGGTGGACCTCAGCGGGGGAGAGGTGGGACAGCCTTTTTTATCTGTCATCAGAGCCGTTACTACCTCCCATCTGTGTCTGCTGAAAGCTCTTGGTTGCAGTTGCTTCTCGAACTCAAGGGAAGCTGGTAGAATTTCGCAGAGGTGTTACCATTAGCTGGGTCCTCTGATTTGGGTCAGGCCTAGTGTTCACTACATGAAGCCACGTTCAGGTTGTCCTCTGAGCACTTTCTAGACATGGCCGAGGATGTGGGCAACCACAGAATCCTTTTGGTCACCTGGATGTATAAGTGGGGCATCCTGCTCTGCCTGAACCAGGGCAAGATCTCTCTTAAAAGACAGAGAGACTCATTCTGAACGGCTTCCAGAGCCTGCACAGCTTACCCTAAAAGGACAGCATATTCCCTGACTGTTCAACCCCTTAGGCTAAGCAATTTGTAACAGCTGAATTCCTTGAGCTTAGAATCTGGAACTGCTACACCCCAGGGCACCTACCTCATAGCTTGGAGGACAGGTTACCACAGGTCTTGGCCCTACTTTTCTTCCGGGAGATTTTTGAGCCTCGTAACCAGTTTTAAGACTATACCGATCTAAGATTTGAGTTAGAAATATGGTGTATCAAATAACAGTAAGAACACAGAACACAACACCTCACAATGAAGACAATGAAAATAAAGTTTCCACTGTATTTTCATTCTTTACTTTTTAATATAATGGTCTCTATTTTATACCTTTATGGAAAATGTTTATGTGAGGGTTTAACTTTGTAAAATGAATGGGCTGAGTGGACAGTGGTGCACACCTGTAATCCTAGCTCTCTGGGAGGCTAAGATGGGAGGATCACTTGTGCTTAGGAGCTGGACACCAGCCTGAGCAAGAGTGAGACCCTGTCTCTACTAAAAATAGAAAAACTAGCTGGCCACTGTAGTCCCAGCTACTCGAGAGGTTAAGGCAGGAGGATCGTTTGAGCCCAACAGTCTGAGGTTGCTGTGAGCTATGATGCCATAGCACTCTACCCAGGGTGACAGAGTGAGACTCTTTCTCAAAAAAAAAGAATAAAGTTTTGTAAAATATAATATACATGGAATTAATTTTAACTGAATATTTTAGGTGTGCACATTTTTGTAAACTACACTCCTTTGGACGGTAGCAGCTCAAGAATTTTATGTATATTTCTTAATTTTATTAGAAATTTTGTTCTATGAAATTAATATAAGCTTGATAAACTTGTGATAAGTAAAACAATGTGGATATGCATAAAGAAAAACAAAATGGCCTTTCCTTTCCATTCTAATACCAAGTTTATGTCCTCTTCTCTGTCTATTCTGTATGCGTGTACACATACCTACACACAGGCATCTAGGTGTAGGTTGACACAGACATTATATATATATATATATATATATATTCAAAAATGCACACACAGATACACATACATGTATGTGTTTACGTGTGTGTTTGTGTGTGTTTCCTAGACAACAGGGAGGCATGGTAGAGAAGGGCCACCCTCCAGGAAATGAGGCTGATGACTCATCAAAAGGTGTCCTCATTGTTGGTTTAGCCCAGAGCCATAGCAATATGTATGGTGGCTCATGGCTGGCTCATTAAAAAAAATTTTTTTTTTGGTAGAGATGAGGTTTCACTATGTTGTCTAGACTGGTCTTGAACTTCTGGCCTCAAGCAATACTCCTTCCTCGCCGTCCCATAATGCGGAGATTATAGGCATATGCCACCATGGTGTCCAAAATCCAAAACTTTTTGAGTTTTGCTCAAAGGAGACGCTCATTGGAGCATTTTGTATTTTTGTATTTGGGATGCTCACTTGTTGAGTATGATGAAAATATTCCAAAATCCCAAATCCCAAATCTGAAGCGCTTCTGTTCCCGAGCATTTGAGATAAGACATATTCAACCTCAACCTGTATAAACTTAATTAAACTTAAATGTGGTGTAAAATGAGTTTCTCATTTACACTAACCATATTTGAAGAGCTCAGTGATCACATATGTCCAGTGGCCATCCTACTAGCACAGATTATAGAATATTTTTACCATCACAGAAAGCTCTACTGGACAGTGCTGCTACAGACCCTTGTGTTAAAATTCGGATACTTAAGGAATTAGAAGAGGCCTTGGAACTGATCTAGTTTCCCTTACTGTGAAAAAATTCTTTCTTTCTTTTTTTTTTTTTTGGAGACAGAGCCTCAAGCTGTCCCCCTGGGTAGAGTGCTATGGCTTCACTGCTCACAGCAACCTCCAACTCCTGGGCTCAAGCGAGTCTCGTGCCTCAGCCTCCCAAGTAGCTGGGACCACAGGCGCCTGCCACAACACCCAGCTATTTTTTGGTTGCAGCCATTATTGTTGTTTGGCAGGTCCGGGCTGGGGATTCGAACCTACCACCTTAGGTGTATGTGGCTGGCGCCTTAGCCGCTTGAGCCATAGGTGCCAAGCCGAAAGAATTCTTTCTAACTTATCCTTGTTGTATATTTACTTAACCCTCTGTCAAATAGTTGAATGGATGAGAAGCTCACTTCTTTTAGAGTTAGCCGTTTGCTCTTTCCTATTTTTATATGTTTGGTTCTTTGTGCTGCTCTCTGGGAAAATTTCTCAAGACTCTTTTACCATGCATAAATATTTTATTTCACTAGCTCTGGCCTGGAATTTATTCAGCTTATTCATTCAGTTTAATTTACACTTTTAATTTTAAAACTTTCTGATTAATTCTTTCTCATATTTACTTTTTAAAATCTTTTCCTACCAGTTTTTGTTTCAAAATTTCACTTACTTATGAGTGGAAGTCACTCCTTTTATCTTTTTGAATATCCTAAACCCCTCAGATCCAGGTATATTTCAGAATTTGGAATTTTTAAGATTTTTTTTAAAAAAAGAGAACATCTTGGTGAGGTCTGGAGCAACACCCTGTAGTCAAATAGGTTAATCTTTGCCCCAGTGAAAAGCCTGAATAGGCACACCAAGAGATACATAAAGACTCTTCACGTAGACTCATATCAGTGCAGGTGAGACTTTGCCAGCAAATGATTGGTTAGGTTAGGTTTTACCATCACTAAAGTTATAAAACAGATTTCCTTTTCAGAGTTTGGGCATTTCAGATCATGGACTGCAGTATACTTAAAGTCTTTGTCAGACTGTTCCATAAAATTTATCTCATCTGAAGTGAACTCATCTTTTTTTTTTTCTTTTTTGAAACAGAGTCTCACTTTGTCATTCTTGGTAGAGTGCAGAGGCATCATAGATCCCAGTAACCTCAAACTCTTGGGCTCAAGAGATTCTCTTACCTTAGCCCCCCAAGTACCTGGCACTGTGGACACCTGCCACAACACCCGACTAATTTTAGAGATGAGGTCTCACTCTGGCTCAGGCTGGTCTTGAACTCCTGAGCTCAGGCAATCCACCTGCCTTGGCCTCCCAGAGTGCTAGGATTATAGATGTGAGCCATCATGACTGGCCTCTGGATTTCTTTATATGTTTTTAAATTGTGTTTGCAGGCTTACTGGTTTATTTTAGATGAGAGTTTTTTACCCTGTCCTCTTTCTCTACACCTTTCTCAGCCTAGTAGTTTTGCAATGTCTTACCCAATCAATCCACTGGAGCCTCAGGCCTGAGCCCGGCATTATAATGTGCTTCCTCTGTGGTTGTGATGTTGAGAATAGCACAGATTCAGATGCTATGGATGGCTTGTCTCAGTTCTCCATCCTGAGGTCATGTGTTTGATCTTTGGTTTCTAAATTCCACAGCTTTTTAATTTTTTTAATTAATTAATTAATTTTTTTATTAAATCATAGCAGTGTACATTAATACTATCATGGTGTACAGTGTACTGTTTCTATATACAATTTGAAATACTTTCATCTGGTTAACATAGCCTTCATGTCTTTTTCTTAGTTATTGTGTTAAGACATTTATATTCTACATTTAGAGAGATTCATATGTACCCTTATAGGATGAACCATAGGTGTGATCCCACCAATCACCCTCCCTCCACCCACCCTCCCCCTTCCCCTCCCCTCCCTCTCCCCTCTCCCCATATTCCTGGGCTAAAATTGGGTTATAGTTTTCCTATGAAAGCTATAAATTAGTTTCATAGTAGGGCTGAGTACATTGGCTACTTTTTCTTCCGTTCTTGGGATACTTTGCTAAGAAGAATATTTTCCAGCTCCATCCATGTAAACATGTGGCAGATGGAGAACAATATTGTTTTTTAGCTTCTTTTCATGATTGGATGGCATCCTCATCCTTGGCTTCAAAAAATGTGCTAGGATCTGGCCACTGTCTCTTATGGAGCATATTTAATTCTCTTTACTCTACCTGAGCTGAACTACTGACCAAAATAGCCCACTTCCAGATCCAGAGGTCAACAGGCCTGTGACTTAAGCCCCAGTGCCATTTTGAGTTTTTCTATCACCCATTTACTTTTGATTCCAAATGTATTTTTTTCTTTTAAAATGTTTTATCCTGAGTTGCTGTGTGTTGGAGCAGAAGAGGTACAGCAAACATGAATGTGTCAGCTGAACTGGAAGTCACCCGTCTTTAAAAAAATGCTAAATTCTAACCTATTTTTATTAAAATCCCCCTTACCTCTCTTTACAACCCATGAGGGCTCCATATTCTTCTCCCCTTCCCAAAAAAATCTTCTCCAAAGAATTGTTTGCGCCCCTGTTTCTAATTCTTTATATCCTGCTCACACCTCAACCCACTTCAGTCTGGCTCCCACATCCCACTCTGTTAAATTTTTTTCTTTTTTGTCAAGATTTCCAATGATATTCTTGCCACTAAATCTAATGTGCGTTTCAGTCCTCATTTCTTTAACTCCTCATCAGCTTTCAGGTCTTGCCGAACCCTCCTCTATGTTCTACAACACTCTCTTGTTTTTATGATTTAAGAGTGGTCTGGTTCTCTTTCTATCTCTGTGAATACTTTGCCAAAATATCATTTGCAGGTACATCCTCCTCTGTCTAGCCATGAAATGGTAGACTTTGTCAAGGCTCAGTCCTAGGCTTTGTCTCGTTTCTCTGTACTGTCTCTCCAAGCGCTCTTATTCTTGGGGAGCTTGTGGGACTCCAAGCTCCCGTGGGTAACTTTCCAGTTGGTGTGCCCAGGCCACTCTCCTGTCACCTGCAGGGCAGCATGTCCACCTTCCACCTTGACACTACTTCTGTGATGTCTCAAAGCCACCTCAAATTCCATTTTGATATTCCCTAAGTCTGTGCTACTACCATCCATTTCATCGCATAAACCAGAATTCTTGGGTCATCCTTCGCTTCTTCCATTCTTTCCCCCTACCCAAACCAATCCATCCTGAGTCTGTGTCCCCAAATCTCCTCCTATCTCTCTTGTCCAATATACCATCCTTTTTCATGATGATCCTGTAGTAATCTCAGAATTAACTCAGCCACATCAACTCTTGCCCACTGCCCCTTCCTATTCATTCTCCATACTATAGTCAGCACACCACAGCTGATGGGAACATTTCACCACCGTGCCCCACACATACAATTAAAAGATTACAATAGCATCTCAGTGCTCTTAGGACAGAGACTATTTTAACATGGCTTGTAAAGCTGCCCTTCGACCTCCCAATCTTATCAGAGCCCTTCTTGCTCCCTCTTACCCGGCCACTCTGGCCTGCCTTCAGGCTCTTGGACTTGCAGTACGTGGGACACTACAGCCTTATATGTTGTAGTGTAGCCTCCTATTTCAGGGTGTTCCCTCTCCCCAAATGCTGTTCCCTCCCCTCATGCCCTGTTATCTGCACCTTGTCCTCCATGCCCAGCTAAGTTGCTGCATCTTCAGTGAGGCCTTCCCCTCTCCCTCATCCTCCTGACCAGCTCGGGCCCCTGCCCTACACGTTTCCACCGCACCTCTGCTTATCACGTGTAATTTTACACAGTATTTGTCTAATTATCCAAGTTTTTAGTTAAAGTTTGTCTGAGGGTGGAGACCATGTCTGCCTCGTTTCCCATCGTGTGCCCATCAGCCAGCTGATGATATGGTATAGACTAAGCTATTCAGTAATGTTGTTGGCCAAATCATTTGAATCCTCACTTTGACATTGGACATGTTAGTCATCCTTCTCAGCTTTATGCAAGCAACAGATTTGATAAGCCCACCTTCTGTGTCTTTAACCCGGAACACTTATAATTAGCAGAGTGCAGTTCTGTGCCACAAAACCGGAAAGATTCCTCTACTTTGACAGTGGTTTTATTAACAGTCTCCTTTTAAAAGATAAATAACTGAAAACAGCAGCGAAGTTTCTGTTTGTCATTGTTTTTTCTTTTGTCTGAGTTTTTCGAAACCAGCTTTTACCATCAAATGTATTTTAAACTCTGCCAGCAATTTTCCCCAAGATTGATCCTTAGGAATCAGAGTGGAGAAAATAGCAGACGTTTGTAATAGAGTGCTGTGATAGAACTTGCAGCCAATTATAACTTCTGGGAGAAAACCTGATACATCATTAACCTGTGAGTGTTTTTTGGAGGAGTAAAGACCACCGAGCCCTTGTTTGGAGATGCCCAATGCTGGCAATGACCTCTCCACGTGGACCAGTGGCAGTGGCACTCTGTAATATGGCATCAAAATTGGTGTGGATAATCTGCATTTTTTTTTTTTACTAGAATAAGTTTTTCTATGATTTAAGTGATAGAAAAATCACTGTAGAAAACAGCAGTTTCATAGTTTAGAGCTGCTCAGATGGAACAGGGAATGTGAATTTCCTGAAGTCAAGAAGGGGAGGACCATTTTAATTAAGCTAATGTGGGTTCCTCGGTCAAGAAATGAAGTTCTTCTATTAGCTCAGGTACTAAATACATACACACATCTTTGACCCAGCAATTTCACTTCTAGGAATCTTACAGAAATATTAGCATAAGGATATATACATGATGATGATCAGATAGTGTTATATGTTGTGAGGGGAAATAGAGGCAACCTAAAAATCCATCAATATTCCCACTACGGAATGCTAGGCAGCCATTAGAAAAATGAAGTATATCAGTCAGTACTGATGAAGGCATATGAAATATCATCAGGCAAATAAAGGAAGTTATGGTAAGAAGCAATAATTATAATTTAATTGATGTTTTTATAATGCTTATTATGAGTTAATACAGTTATACAAGCTCTGCATGTATGAATTAATTTCACTCTCATGGCAGTCTTAGGAGGTGGGTACCGTTAGTACCCTTCTTTTACACAGGCGGATACTGAGGCCTACAGATGTCAAGTAACACACCTAAGATCACACAGCTGGAGGCAGTCTGATTCCAGACCCCAAGCTCCTAACCAACAGGTGCTCTCAGGGGAGGAGACACTTTTCTGTGAAGAACCAGACAGTAAATAATTTGGGCTTCACAGGCCACCTGGTCTCTGTCATAGCCGTGCAAAGGCATCCCAGATTGCCATGATCTAGTTTTTCATAAAAAAACAAAATGGGTATTCACATTCAGGCCATGAAAATGGTTTCAAAGTATAGAAATCTGTTAATCAGTTCATATCGTCTATAGATCAGTACCCTGAGTCCCATAAATGCATCAATGCATAGTCATGATTTAATAAAACCAAACAAGAAGACACATAAAAAAAAAAAGTAGAAAACCCGAGCTAGTCATAGTCATTATCCCCAATAGGGGTGTGTGCGTGTGTGTGCCACTTCTATAGTATTTCCATTCATATAATTTAAAATTTCTTTTTTAAAGAACAGTTAATGAGCCTCAAGGCACATTTCCATCCCTCTCACCCTCCGCTGGTAATTCCTTTTTACTTCAAGTTTCAGTGTGTCTTTTATTTTGAGAAACAAGTGGCTAAAACATTGCTGGGTGGAAAGAATAGAAAACCTTATGCCACAACGTAGTGTTGCCAGATTTAGAAAATAAAAAGACAGGCTGCCCCATAGAACTGGAAATGCAGATAAACAAGGAAGGATTGTTTGTTGGTTGTCCCCATTTAAAACTGGACAGGGCACCGTGTACTTTATCTGGCACCTGCCTCGGAAACATCCCTCCCAGAAGGCATGGAGAAGTTCTTCCTCCCGGTGCCTGCTCTGCGCTCGTCTCACCACTGTGTGCGTAAGTGTACCTGGTGTGTTTCACGTCTGGTTGACGGTCTGTCTGCTCGGCCTCTCCCACAGGTGGAACTGCATCTGCGGCTGCGTGTGCCGCAGGTTGGCCACTATGTGGTCGTGGTCGAGTATTCCACAGAGGCAGCCGGGATGTCTGTGGCTGATGTGAGCGTGAAGGGCCCCGGGTCTGCCCTGGCAGGCCAGGTGGAGATATACAGCTGCCAGTACAGGTAATCCTCCCACCCCCGGGGTTCCTCTGTAACAGAACCACTAGCAAATGTGCCTTAGGAACACTGGTTGTTATTTGCATTGGAAAGTTGTCTCCTTTTTGAGGCAGATCTTGAAAACAAGCAGGTGAGTAGTTGTGTCGGTGCTAGGAGTCTTCTCTTTGGCAAGAAGATCTTGAAAATGTTATGTTTTCCTAATAAGCTGTGCGCTGTGCCTACCTGCTTAGTGCAGGTTCAGATGGGTCAGCACGACCTCTTTCTTTTATCACTCTGGGGTGGTGCAGTGAACTCAGTGCTCTGACCTCAAAGGTGGTGCCAAGTACAAGGGCGGGTAAAACACCCGTGTTTAATACCATGAGAAGGTGCACACCCACCTTCACACCACACCGTCACAACTTGAGGTGATTAGTGTTTGATGATGATTGCCAGGTGAAAAATTGACAAAAGTTTGTTTATTCTAAACAAACTCTGTAAGAGCTGTAACCAACAAAAGACTTAAAAATTTGCCCCATGACGTTCTTCCCTTCTGAGAACCCCGACAGGGTTTATTAAAAATGGTTTTCTTTGAATGGTATTTCAAGGTCCATGTAAGTGTTCAGAGCGTGCTTTAATTAAAGAATCAGCACAAGGGGTGTTTCCACATGAAATTAATTGCACAATCAATGGCACTGGAAGATGGAGTCCCTGGAAACAGCAGATGGAGAACTGCAGTAAACCCATCCAGTTTTGGGCCAATGACTTCGACATTTCATTACCAACATTTTATGCTGCTTTTTGTCAAAAACCCAAGATGACCTGAAGGAGTCGGGCGTTTTTCCAGTTATGAAAATGAAAAAAAGTATGAAAGAGTTACTTTGGGTAGCTTGGAATGGAAACTTTGATGAGACATGATAAATGGTTATTGAATTAATGCCATGCCCTCAGCAAACAGCTGTGAAGGCTTTGTCTGGGATGATACAGAAAAATCAAAGAATGTAATTGTATTTGGATTTTTAACAGGAGCATGAGATGGGCCTAAAATGTTCCCCAGAATGTTCTGTCATTATATGAAAATATGAGCCACGTCTATAGGTGACCTCAGCAACCCCAGGAATGGACACTTCCAGGTGGGTGGGCACCACATGGCTGCCAGAGACCCGCAGACTGTCAGCCACAGGGCCTGGGCAGAGCTTCGCCACCCCGTGTCCATCCAAGCCCACCCACCAGGTCAGCGCCCCCACTCCTTCCACCTCCAGATCGCATGGCTTCATTCCTGTCTCTCAGCAGGCAAAGTGGAGTTGGCTAAGGAGACAGGAGGGAGTATTCAGTGATGACCCTGGCGACCCTCTGAATCATCTTGGAAGAGGGCTCAGAATATCTGTGCCAAGAAGAGTGATTTCAAAACCAAAGCAATAAAGGACACTCTTCCAGGATTCCATCAGCTTTGTTTCATGACCTTTGTCTGAATGCAGTTACTGAGGGTGGGCTGCATGTCATTCCGCAGATCATTTTGGCTCTGAACTTGACAGCACCAAAGTTCTGCTTAGGGAGTTTCTATCCTTAGGATTCTAGGATAGTATTGCATTCCAGCAGTTCTCAACCTGTGGGTTGCGAACTGTATTAAAGGGCCACACATTAAGAAGGTTGAGGATCGCTGTGTTAGACTATTGTATTTAACCACTCCCGGGAAAGTCCCATGGTATTTTTTTTTTTCTGAAATACTTCCATTTTCTCTTCCTTGCCTGTCATGTTGACCAGTGAACGTGAACAGGCTAGAAGCATGGGAGTCCAAAAAACAGCTGGGAAATATTTGACCCACGAAGCCCTCTTTCAAATGACAGGCCCTTTCAACATTATAGCATCTTCTGCTGAGGTTTGACCTTTTTTTTTTTTTTTTTT